AGAGAGCAATTGTTTAGGTACGATCGATTCGTAATACAATGGACTATTGAGCTATAGTAACCGTTATCGACAGAGAGAAGAATCGAGACGCAATAATAAAAAATGTTTTACAAACAAGATCAGGCTTTTTTTTCAAACTTCCTGCCCTGAGGATCTTTGTTAATCCGTGTTCAGTAATCGTCCTTAGTTTGCATAGCTCCACAGCTATCCAATATGGCTTTACATTGTTCAAATCGCCTAAATAAAAAAGCTATACATAATTACTACTTGACTCGAAAAAAAAAACCGATCGACAACAAATCACCTGGTATAAGGTGCAACCGCGAAGCGAGCCAACGCATAACCCACTTGCGTACAGCCCGAGACCCGCATTTTTTTTGTGATAACATACGACCATTGAAAAACAGCACGAATTATCACGCAACGGCTAGCTGGGCTGGGCTGGGCTGGGCTCAGCTGACCTAGGCTTGTTTGGCAGAAATGCAGGAAAACGACTAGTTACCGTCTACAAACTGCCGAATGCTAAACTCGTCCGTATATAGTGTCTTAACATTGATTCAAAAGGAAAATGCTATAGTTTTAGATAGGTGATCAAAGATATGTATAAACTGCGCATGTACGCTGCATAGATGAGGTATCGAGGATATACCTGTGATTGCCAATGGCAGGTAGTAGTACGTTGTCAAACAAAACGCAATATAAGGAAACTCGCAGATTTACGGCTGTGCGATTATCAAATCGATCGCCGGGTTTAACTTCATATGTAATCATGGTCTAATTGTTTCACTTATAATATCATTTTACTGTATCTTCTTCTTCTTCTTCTTCTTCTTCTTACGCTGACCCAGGTATTCTAAGTTACATTGTGGTTGCTCTGTCTTTAATCAGTGCCATCGTTTCGGTAGTAATAGTAGAAATAGTGACTGGAATATTAGAAAAATTAATTGTTTCACGTTCTCAGATTATAGCGTTACGTATCTCGGATACGCCGCAGGTTCCGATTCGACTGAGGGGACCTGGCTCGTTAGCAGTTTACTCAATTCAAAATTAGCTTTTGATATATGTACATGTTTTTAGTAGTAATATTAATACTATAGGAGAAATTACTCTGTCTTTATAATTAGTCAGTAACAATACGACAGATGTGTGCACTCATTATAGTACAACCGTGTCCGCATAATCCATAGAATGTAGAAATAGTTTGCGCAAGTTTTCTCACCATCCTAGCCACTTCGAAGCGTTCCTTTAATCTACATAAATTAGCATATACATATCCTTAGGGAAGCTGTATTGAAGCAAATTTAGTGATACGTCGAACTTTCTGCTGACACTAATGGATGGTTTGTTTTTGGCTTGACACGTATGTCTGATGGACACAATTTTTTTTAAATCCGAAAACCTTCCTCAGATGCAAAGTAAATCAAACCATATTTGAGGTGATGGGGGGGAGCAGATAGTATCTTCCGGAAGTGTTCATTATAGTCATCACAATCCTTCCCTTGTATATATGGCTGTACGAATTTTTGAAGGCATCGAATATTTTTTTTTTGATCGTAGGCTATTTTGGTGGGACATTTTTGAAAAATTTTACTTGTGACGCTAAACTGAGACTTATAAGACGAGTGATAAAAATTTTGAGCCAACCACGAATCACAGGCAAGATGGTATTTAACAGGTAATTAAATGTATGCACTTATAAGAAACGTACTCGGATATTTTTTCTGTCCTATTTTTTCCGTGTGATCTTTAGCATATGCAGATTGAAATCGGTAGTGCACTGTCAAACCGGTTAAATGAACGAATCTATCGACGAGTGTTAAATGAAACCTGTGGCCCATAACCGGCCCAGGTATCATTTGTCTTTTGAACTTTTGGACAAGGACGCAATCAGGACGATCTCAGTAGAAAGCGCTCCGACTGGGAAACTATTAGCCTTTCGACGAAATTAGCAGGTCAAACATTGAACAAATCAACAATTGCTTCTGCCGTCACTATTGTTATCGTTGCAAACTGCTTGGAGTCGTTTCTTGCATAGGCTTTGAGTCAAGCTTCCTTTCTCTGCCTTCAATAACTGTTTCCCTCTATTTCTGCTACAAAGTATATATATATATATATATATATATATATGCTTACTGCATCTGCGTATTATCAAGTCAATATTATTACCTTCTCGAAATTCTCTAACGATCGTGTCGATCGTCTGTTCTAAGTTCTGTTTGAATAAGTTTCGTTGTTTTTTATTCGCTGTTTTTTTACAGTGGTGATTTCGACAATAGGCGCTCGAATTGCCCCAGTTGCTGCCGTAATTGATGTTCCTGTTTTTTCGTCGTCGTTCAAACTGTTAGTTATGTCCGTTTTGGCTTCTTGTGCATTACGTAGTAGTAGTAGTAGTAGTAGTAGTAGTTATCCTATATTATTGTAGGCGCTCGTGTTGCAACCGAGTTTGTGTGTACGAAAGTTTATGAAGAAACCGAAAAAGTGAAGCTCCAATTGTTGCCCTGGCATAAATTCGAAAAGGTTTGAAACGGTGTTCTGTGTGGCGCGAAAATGTCACTAGATGACTCTCTGTCACAGATAATTGCATGCTGGAATTTATGTCTGTTGTAAGTTTGGTTGCTGGGCGAGTGTCGAACATCGCAGCGTCATGGACCAGACACCTTCAGATATAAGTATTAATTTTACAACGAACTTCATCAGAAAATAATTCGGTATCAGTGTCATTTGAAGTAAAGTCACGCCGGAACTTCTTGAAGCATTTCAAATAAAAATGCCGAAAGAATGGGGCTACTTATATCATAACTGTTCCGTAGCTCGGTGAATACTGACTTCGTAGTTCATAGACAAAACTGTATCCTACATTAAAAGTAGCTAGTAGGGTTAGACATCGCAACAAGGGTTATACTAAAAGCTAGCTTCCACATAAAAACGTACGACACAAACTGCAAAGATAGGTGGGTATTTGATCCAGTTCGCAGGTACTTGTTCGAGATACTATTATTATTATTTGCTCCATCGTATGTTTTATAGCCAAAAACACTTGTTATGTTCCTTCTTGTCGTTCGCTGGCTTGACGTGAGTCTGGTGAACTCTGTTGCTGAAGCAGGTATACGTGTTGTTAAAATCGTACAATACTTGTAATTCTACGCATATGTGTACGTGCGTGTGCGTGGGCGTGCGTGTGTGTGTGTGTGTGTGTGTGTGTGTGTGTGTGTGTGTGTGTGTGTGTGTGTGTGTGTGTGTGTGTGTGTGTGTGTGTGTGTGTGTGTGTGTGTGTGTGTGTGTGTGTGTGTGTGTGTGTGTGTGTGTGTGTGTGTGTGTGTGTGTGTGTGTGTGTGTGTGTGTGTGTGTGTGTGTGTGTGTGTGTGTGTGTGTGTGTGTGTGTGTGTGTGTGTGTGTGTGTGTGTGTGTGTGTGTGTGTGTGTGTGTGTGTGTAATAACATTGCCCAGTGGTTGCTTTTCTAATACTATAACAAATAGCACCATTGGGCTTAGACTAACTAATTAATTACCCAATTTCTTTAATTTTCCGTTCCATATCTGCACCAGGCGCCTAATAAATATTAAAAAGGATCGAAGAAACTACTCTCTTTCTCAGGTGATTTATAATACTTTACAGTGGGTTTTCTCATCGTCATCGTCACTGCTGTTACCTTAATGTATATATATATATATATATATATATATATATATATATATAATAATGTGAATTTCTTGTTGTAGATGTTAACAGCGGCAAAAGTGTGTCATCATTATTGTAAGCTGGTCGTTGTATAAATCACTTTTATCATAATAATAATAATAATAGTTATAGTAAAACCATAGCCACTTATCACGCGACGTTAAATATATATATATATATATATATATATAACGTGTCCATATCGAGAGAAAAACAAGCTTCCTACGAAATATGTTTTTTCCGTATTTAATAACGATTTTATGGATGATCGTGGTTTCGTTGTGAATTGTATAGTTGCGTGTTGCTGCTGCTGTATCTACAGATCCGTATATATTTTATTATCAGATTGATTAATTGTGATTCGTTATGTGACATAATTCCTAGTTATCAATCGCGAACTTGATACGAACAGGTGAGTAACGGCACGTTTCCAGGATGGTCCAGCATCCAGGATGGTCTTCAGGGAAAAATGTGGCGGTGGTGCGGCGGATTACATCATAAGTTAGCACAGTTTTTTTACATGTAGTCGGAATACACATTGTAGCGGTCGAAAGCGTGTATCCCGTTACATCCATTCAGCAATAAGAACCCCACGTGAGCGGTTTAATGAGCGTGTGTCAACGTAGTTCGCTCTGCGACCACGAAAATATATTAGGCGATCTATAAAATGGTTAGGGCAAGCAAAACCATGAGATAGGACGGTCGTCAGCGTCAAGTTAGCATGGCAAAACACGGTGTCGCTTGGATGCTTATAGTTATGCTGGAAGGGGTCAGAGCAGCGTGTTTCAACCTTGTCCACTACTAGTTTGTTTTACCCGGAAAACGTTCCAAATACATTTTTCTGCACAATCTTGTCTATGGCTGAACGATAACTAGAGAAAGATATCAATCCTTTACTTTGTTCAGACATCGTGTATTGTACAGGGATGCTGCAAGCTTTCGAGTGGGGATCAGGCTTGACATTACCGTTATAAGAAATTAGGACAGCGTATACTGTACGAAACGATAACGGTGCCCGTACGAACAACGATAACCATAGGTATGATTTCACAGTATTTCAAACAATATTTGTAGCTAAATATTATTAGGTAGGCGCTCAATCTGCCAGCAATTGGTAAATAAGGAATTTATCATGTCTCTCACTATGACAAGTGGGTGTACTTTCGTAGTTGTTATTGATTTGTATTACTATCGATTTTTTTTTTATTATTACTCTGACATGACGGTGATGACCGATTAAAACGTGATACGTGAAGAAGGTGTTAGTTATCGTTATATATGTTGTTTTCTTCCTTGATCGAAACGCTCGTCAAAATGTTTAACTACGTAGATATATATACATGCATATATGTTACAGGCGAAATGCTTATATGGCGAGCCACCACTAACGTAAGCTTTCCGGGTCTTCTGACGACCATAGGAGCGCTCAGTATAAAGGTAGTTGTCATCGGTTTGTTGATAACTTCGCCATACAATTTTTCGCATTTTCACTAGCTTTCATAGGATATAATTGTTGTTAGTCGTTACTAAAAGATCGCAAAGATATAAATATGTTGCGACAACAGTGTTTGTTTGCCAGCTATAACATGGCAGACATAAACCGCTATTTAAAATGTATTTATAATGTACTGTGATCGCTAAAGCGCATTCTAGGTCAAGAAATTTATAATAATAACATCGTCAGTGTTATTACACGAATGAGCTGCCGCTTGCGGCGCGTACACGTAAATATCTGTATGTATGTGTGTCTAGCGAGTACCAAACTGTGCAACTGCTAAAAATGATGAGTATTACCCCCTCTGATAAATCTGAAGCCGACCAGATAGCGAAAGATTCGAGCCGATTCAGCTTTTGCTGCTGTTGCTGCTAATCCTGCTGATGCTGCCACTATGAAAACAGAAATCCGCCACATCTTTGGACGCTTAGACGATCAATACCGATCGATCAAGGAAGAAGCTTACGAGGACCCCAGTATAGAAGCAGAGAAAAAAGGAGAGTCTAGTTGAACAACAACGATTTGTTGCTATGTTGTTGCGGTCATTGCTAATTAGGCAAGCTAGCAATCATCAGATTAGCATTTTCATTAAGATAGAAGTTAGATTTATAAGCGAGTTCCCCATGCGACCATCCTGGATCACGTTGGTATCAGTTTCTTATGCCACTGACCGAGGCTAGGCTGAGAATGACCAGGCAGACGGCATCTACCACCAAAAGCTGGCCGTTAGGGCTAGATTTCATTTCATTGAAGCATTCGAAAATGTTTAGCGACTCCTTTTTCGACATTTTGATCTTTTTCTCGTCGTCTTTCCCTCGATGCCTCTGAGGCAGATGCTTTTTCCGTTTCGAAGTAGACACCATCATCGATTCTGGCGCACGCACCACCGTTTTCCGCAGTTGTTTTGGTTTGGTTGTGCCGCTGCTTTCCAAACGGCTGTTCTCGATGTAAAAGCTAAATGTCAGCATGTTGAAATGCCACCACGCAGGATTGGAGTCAGGCAGACCGTCGAAAGTTTTATTGTTTCTATTACAATCACTATTTTTATAATTATCATGTTGTTCTTCTCCCACTGAGGTCCATGCAGCTACCCGGCAGTCCCCTGGACCCAAGCACAACAAACAACGCCGAAGATTCGAACCGCCGTCGGTGCTTGGCGCATGTACCAAAAATATACGTATATATCAACATACAAATATGCTATCTATATATATATATATATATATATATATATATATATGCCTACTCGAGGTACCCCTTCAGGTCTCTCCTTCAGTTCCTTAGATTTCATTTCAATTATTGTTCTATTAAATAATCAACGTTCTCGTTTTCATCCTCGAAATGTACCCCTTAGTAGATGGGTCAAACAATTCTGCACAATTTCATTCTAGTTGGTTTTGCCTTTGCTATTGCACATTAACGGGGTAATTATTTTGTCGGCGGTTGTCTCCTTGATAGTCATCGATATAGGGGTCACACCAATCGTCCTGCTCCATGGCGTAGCCCCGACTGGGCGCTGGCGGATATCCTCGCGAGTCTCTTTGGTGCGGGCCGTGGCTGCCATGAGTCCTGTGGTGTCCGCTGTGATGTCCTCCATCGTGATCGGGAGGACTGGCCGGAGGGCTATCGTAACCATGGTGGTATGGTGACGGGATCGGTGGGGGTGGACCCCGTTGTTCGTGTTGACTCCTTCCCGATGGTACGCCTGCTTGATGATGCTGATGATGATGCGTCTGCTGTTGATAGTACTGATTATACTCGTCACTGCCCGGCGATGAAATCTAGAATGAGAAGCGGGGCAGAAACACAAGTTGTTAGTAAGTCCATCATCAAGACAGTGGTGTGGAAGGTAACTATACAGGATGATTGCCATTGCGTATGGTGTCACACAGTTAAACAGTGTGGTACGATTGAAAACTTAATCAAAAAAAAAATTACGCGAACAAGTTCGGTAGTGCAGCGTTGAAACGAAATAATTACCGTTGCTCCGTACAGATATACGATGTCCTGAAATGTGAGTAAGGCAAATGCCCCACAAACGGAATTGGCATAAAGCATTGGCCTGACGATAAACGGCCAGTTAAGAGAACGAAACGGTTCGGACAGTCAATGGTAATACAGCCGTTTTGTCAATCTAGCAGAACTATAAGTGCACATGCTGTACATTAAAGCAAGACCCCGGAAGACGCACTCCCCGTTTATGCCTCAACAAATCTACAAATTGTGCATGCTTGCTCCTTCATATCTGTGCGAAGGCTTTAATGGTGCAGTGAATTTAGATGTACAAAAACCAAAGAAATTACTGCAACTAATTCGAATCTGTTAAATGTTAGAGCCCCCTGGCGGACGTCGGGCAAAATTGAATAAAATAAGTATAAGTATAATAAAATAAGTAAGTATCAAAGTTGACATAAGATGCACATTTAAATAGCTTCTTTTTTTGTTTTTCTTCAAATTACAACTGAAGTGACAAGGTGTCTCGGAGACATAACGTAAGTATCCATAGTAATTTCCATATACAGGCGATGTCACAGACTATTCGTATGGTCAGTATGGAAAACGATTGAGGTCGGCATGGGAAAACTGCTTTTCAATTGTAGCCAACATTATCAAATAACTTAATGGAATGGAAATTTAAGGTAGAATGATATAGATCGAGTAAATTCGTGTGCCACTCATAACGCACGACATCCATTATACTATCATTTCATATCTCCAAAAAACCCGCACGTGCTCTATAATACCTGATGTTCTACTTTTATATAAACCGTAATTTGGTAAAGATTTTCTCTGTAATGTGGTTAACATATGAAAATCAGCCAATGGTTTTGTCTTGTACTGCTCTATTTTCAGCATTTACTAATATGGCTAACTTGATTCTCGATGACGTTCTCGTGATTCATTGATAGCTTCAAAGAATAGGTTACGTAGAATTTGAAGATGGCCGGTCGTTCAACTGTGCACCCATGTGTGTCTGATAGAAACAGTTATTGTAGCGGTAAAGTAGGATGCAAGGTCATGGAATTAGGCAGGGGTAACACATTTTATTGAAAATAAATGAAAACAAGTAGTAGCTGTCGTAGCAGTGGCTGTTAAAAAGAGAATTCACTGAAGAAAATAACTATTTTGGATTCCTGCTGTTATCGATATTCCGGTTGTAGTAATAGTGAGAGACAGTCACTGGTTCGTGCGCCAGCAACACAGGTGAGTTCAAGTTGAGCTGCGAAGGTTAGTTACCTCGACACGAGGGCGGATGGGCAGAGTTGAGGAGTCGTGGTAGAAGTTCTGGTCTGAAGTTCTATTGTGGAAGTGGTCGGGTGATTGGAGTTGGTCATGGAGATGGTTGCTACGGTGGTCAGGATGAAGTCTCGGGTGGTGGGATGAAAAGGGTTGGTAGTGTCTCGAATTGGGGGGTGGGGTGAAGTTTTGGCTGTGGCCTCGATAGTCTCGCTGGCCACGATTATGGATATCGGAGGTAGAATGATGCTCAGATTGATACTGATGCGGATGCTGTTGTTGGTGTTGTTGTTGTTGTTGATGAGGATGGCTGTGATGATAACTGTTGTTTTCATGTACGGGGTGTCCAGGATGGCCTGTAATAGGCCTTACCATATGTGCCCCGGAGCTCATCTGAGAGTGGTCGAGTGGGGACTGCACGTGGGGCACGTTGCTCCCGTGCCGATTCGTCGCGTGCGTGGCATGATGCGAGCTGCCGCTCGGCTGAGGCTGTGCCAGACTCTGCACGATGATAGGCGGATGCGTGGCACGCCAGTACGCCTCGAGAAATTCGGCCAGGTGTTCGCACGCCTCTTCCAATTGGTTCTCATCTAATATCACATCGAAAAGCTCCTACAAAATCATCGACATGGAAAAGAACATATGTGTATGATATAAAGAGACATAGGCACTTCTCCACAGAACTAACCTTGCAACATGACCGCTGTCAACACCTTATCACCGATCCGATGATGCTGTGAAAGCCTACTTACATCGAGACTTCGTTTAATAAAGATCCAATATATCGGTATGATTAATAAAACGAATCAACTGGATCATTGGCTGGGTAATTTGCAACTGCTAAGGGTATAAGATGCGGTAGAGTTATTGAAAATGTTCAAGAGAATTTAAATATTAATACGACATGATGCCACTTACTAATCCTGCACTCGTTCGACGTGAAGGTGTTCATCCGATCACTGCGTCTATCCCAGACATACTAACGTGCTTGAGCTTTCGCTTTCGTTCACTGTATTGTGATGATCATGATTTGTTACAATGTTCGGTTCCATTTTTTGTCGGAGGAGCGCTATTCTTAGGCTGACGAATAAGACACTGAATCAATCTAAGTCTCAACCTACTCACCGGACTACACTGTGCTAACTTTTCAGCAGCGACCATCTGTACGTTTAGATTGCGACTTTGTGACTTTCCTCGAGACTTGATTAATCGTTGAAGCACTTTCGGCGAAGAGATCTTCACGTAGACCATGATTGGCGCAAGCGAGGTCTTCGCTAGTTGTGACGGGTGATTTATCGTATCACAATCCAACACCTGCGAAACGCAAGAACCAAAAATTTCGATGCGTCAATTTTCACTATTACAATCGCCCGAGTGACGAGCAACACTGAGATGGTTCTAAGAAACAGAAAAGCATCTTATATTATTACACATATAATAGGCATTTCGGCCACATGGCAGTGACAGAAAACATGACAGGCTTTCCTATATTCGGTTTTGATTATTTAGTATCGTATACAAATTATTAAGATATAATGTGTTTTATAGAAATACAACGACCCCCTACTGCGCCTAGATGTTTGAATATTGCATATTTGAAGTTTAATTTGGAAGTGGACAATTTATCAGTACAGGACTTTTCGGTCGAGCCTTTTTCTAGGTATCAAACTTGGCCTATACCTACCACAAGCTGCAGGGTTCTGGCTAATTCAAATATACGTTCAATCTCGCTTTGAACTTCAGCTAGACATGAGGATCTTGAATTGGACCTCTCCATAATGGCTCGTTTGCTAGGATTATTCAGTAATGACCGCTTCGCCAACGAGATGTCCGCTGTTACGCGAGTAATAATGATTCTGGAAGGTCAAAGGCGAATATAGAAGGGTAGAATGAAAGAAAATGATCATGCCAGATTCGAATGGAACGATTGGCTGTCAAATCGTTTTATATCTTCACGCATCGCTGCATCGAAAATGACTAAAAAGCAAGCAATCCTTAGTTATCCTCACGGAAAGCTTTCCGTTTATATTTAAATTTTATGAAATATCTGACATTCACGTATTTAACTCCAGTTTCATATGTAACGACGAGGGCTTCGTTGATCTGACCTGTAATGGTTGGCCATGTAATGGCTAGGGCTCATCGAATGATTACCTCGCGTTACAACTGCATAAAACAAAGATAGTGACAAAGTCCCGAGATAGTGGACTTCGCTTCGAGCTACTTGATGTTCCGGCAGTAAGTTTTCAATGGACGTTTTGCTTTTGTCGATTTGTTCACTACTTACTTTCCTTCGAAGCGATGCTTAAGGAAGTCAAATAGCGCTTTCTGCATCATGTCGGTAACCTCGTAGCCCTTGAGAGAGGGACCGACCAACACGACGGGCCGCATCGATGGAACAACGTCGTACGGGGGAATGTTCTCGGCTTTCTTAAAGAACGGTTTCCGCTTCTCCTTATTTGGCGGGGGTGTTGTCAAAGACGCCCCTGGCCCGCCCTTTCCGCCGCCGCCGCCGCCGCGTGTACTATCGCTATCATCGCCGCCCATCTGGTTGTCCAGGCCATTCTGGTCGGGCGTCGGAGGGGTCGAACCTCTGGGAAACGAATCAACACACCGAATAGCGAAAAAAACCAGAACTCGACATAGTCACCATTAGCGGTAAGCCATAACTACAAGGTTACGGAAAAGTTCGTTTCGATGGATTACTCGATTGTTGACGTCTAGATTCTGCTTGCGTTGGAAAATGTCTGCCTCTAATCATTCACCGATAAAAATAAGTTCTGCGAGGCGACAACTAGGATTCATTGCGATAGCAGGAACGCAGTGTTTGCTTCTGCGATTATATACGTGTGTGCCATAACTATCTCCTGTTGATTTAATACTGTCCTGGAAACTCAGCGCTAAACTTACCTAGAGTAAAGTTTGGTGTTTCTTGTTTGGGACTGTTGCAGTCGAAGGTTTTCTAATTTAACTGGACTAGGAATAAAACCTATATCACATCCTTCCTTGACTAGGCGTCCGATCCACCAGTCGTTATTGTATTTCTCCTTTATGTGAAGAAAGTCTTTGACTCCTGCAATTGGCCAATACATTTAATACAGAAGGACTGCGCGGATGTGTAAGCCATGTTGACCCACTGTATTGCCCCCTGGTGGACTTTTTTCACTAAATAGCGGAAACTAAAGATCATGATTCTCAAATGAGAACGAATTGTTGGCATGATTTTTATATAGCACAGTCGCACGCTACCAGACGTTACGTAATTACGCCCAGTATCAAATGATATCATAACAGATACAAATCATAGAAATTCCCTTACTGTCGAAATGAAGTAGACAATAGTATCATCGAAGCATGCATTCGATTCATCGAATACCGATTGTATACTTACCGAATGAGATTGCACATCCATGCACTGGGGAGTCATCGTCGAGGCTGCCATCGTAGGCAACATTTGTCCGCACCGCAAATGCGACCGCCTTACTTTTAGCTTTCTCAAGTTGCTGTAACGCCTGCCTTTCAGTCTCCCGTCTCAGTGCCTCCCGTTCTTCATCGAGACTTAGATCTGAGGACGGCTGACTGTAGTTGGAGTCTGCAGAGCCCTGTAGTATATCGAATATCGGTGAAGAACAGTGTGTTAAGGGAAGCGAAAGCCGATCACGAAGACACATATAGGTGATGTCAGCGATAGCAGTTGCAGCAAATCAAAACCGAACTACTCCAGACAACTATCATGGACCTTGTAGCGCTAAAAGCTACCCGTCAACTTTGCGTTGCTCATTTAAATGTTCATATACAAATATATGGCGGCAATAAAAGGAAGCGTCATAACTGCACTAACAATAGCAGAAGCATTGCTAACACTGAAACGTCCCTAGTAAACATGCTGCCGTAAAGCGAAGATAAATCGAGAAGATAACGAATGAAAGCGTCGCATGCGTCAGCCAAAGAAATGTATTCCCGTCTATAGGTCTAGCTAATCACGATACGTGAAGACAGGAGGAACAATGCATAAGAAGGTCAGAAAAGTGGGATTCGATATTTGAAGAAAAGAAGGGGATGGAAAATGAGCTGGGATAATGTGTGTACTTGTGGGCAGGAAGCGAGAATTTATCGCGGTTGTTAGTTATTATGCAATCGTCTAAATAGATCAGGGTCATCCTTTCATCAAGAAGCAGCGGAAGGAGGCTAAAGTTGCATTGTTACGTATTTCTACGGGGAAAAATGAGGAACATCGCATCACATCCTTGCGTGTCGCTTCGCATTAGCAAAGCACCTAAGTAGGAGTCGACAATCTCTTGCTGTGTGCAACAATGGAGAGTGGGTATGTCAGTCTGTATATGGCGCTCCAGATCCGGCAGCACTCCTGAGGAAGGTTAGAAAGAGAATGAGTTTGTCTTCAAGCCGATGAGAGCACGGTTAGCGCACATGCTTGCTTTTTGTCAGTATCGTTGAGTCGTGTCACCTGATGCATGGTGAGCACTTCGCTCAAACCCGAGAACGAATCAGTTAAGATGAATGTATCGTAGGTGAGGACCTTAATTCAAGAAAGGATAGCACACTTCGTTTGTACATCGCCCCACCAAAACGGTTCGCCACTTTCCTGCCTCACCGTGTGCTTTTTCTAATAACCATCAAACATCAACTACTATTCACTAGTATTGGTGTTATTATCACGATTCTTAACATAACTGCCGATTGATTTTGGTATAAGCGATCAACTAAATGGCTAATGACAAAAACAAGAAGGAGAGGAAAGGTGCTGCCTTGGAATCCGCCAGATCGGAGTGTACCCGGTCAAGGCAAACTTTCGGATCCAAACATTGCAATTATCGATCATTCGGTTACTAATAAATCAATCAGTCTGCTATTACCAGAATCAGCTGATTACAAGAGTCAAACATACAATAAACAAGAGCTTGTCAGTCGTAAAACTTTTGCGCCGATTGTACATGTATGTGCATCCGGTCAGAAAATTCAATCCGACAGACTATCGGTCAGACCGATGGATATAACCGACAACACACGGACAATATGACGGTCTTAGATCAGATCAGACTCGAGCAACTTAGATCGATCGCAGGAGGTCGATCCTCACCTTTGTAAGCAGTGGTGCCCGATGACTTCGGTCGTGGGGTTCGCGTCGCATGACTTAGCCTGGCAGATTCGTCGCTCCGTCGAGCGGAGCAAACGAACGTCCGTTGGTGTCACTATGGCTACAGTACTGTACTGCTCACGACGTTAATGCTGTTGTGCGCTTTTGAGCGTGTCGTCTCTGTCTGTCACTGGTTGTTGACGTACGTGGTGAAGTCTGAAATTCCAGATCTCAGATCGATCCTCAGACGTGGCTGTTCTGCTTATTATCGTCCCATTAGCCAGGGATCGACATAGGGAAATCACGAAAATCGCTCCAAGACGGCCCGCCCGCACAATCCGCTTGAACATGGACACAACTGCACAGAGGTGTCTGACTGCTTACGTGCTGCGTATCTCTTGGACAGCGAAGCGAGATAGCAGACGACGATAATCTATAGCAGTATACATATTATGACATATTGAGAGAAACTGAGTCTCGGCTAGTAGTTGAATAGTGTAGAGTTGTGGAAATTGCAAGCTGCTTATTATAGCAGCAGTGATATTAACGGTTAGTTGTTGTACTTAGAGTTGTGGCGGTAGGTGTGGGTGAAGTAGCAGCGGTAATAGCTAACTGTAGTAATCTTCGTTCCCTCTGTTGTCTTGGTGTTGATTGGTGGTGCGTGGTAGCGGTGATAGGTGACTTCAGCCTATATTGTCATGGCGCTGAAGAAAACCAGGGTCGTACGAAGAGTAGCTTGCAGAAGGGATTTGCAGAAGCAGCCGTAGAATAGGCTTAGTAGGTGGCATCGGAGCAAATAGAGATATTGTTACTATATAGGAGCGTTCTGTTTTCGGCTTTTGTTGCTATTGTGGTTTACTGTCTCTGATTTAGGTAGATAGAGGTTTTGTTTGGCTGCTGGATCGCACGTGGTTACTCGCTTGGGTGAATCCGTCGTCGTCGACACGAACGTGAACACGTCGACGGGCGAATTGGAAGGAGGGGTCACAAGCGTTTAGGGGAATGAGTGCAAAGCAACGGTTTTTATGCAACGCAGCCGTCAACGGCGATCGTCGCTTTGGCAGGTCGGCTTTGTCTGCCCGGCGCGTTTACGATGATCCTGGTATACTTAAGCCGTCAACGGGCTGCTGCAATGATCAGATCAGATTAACAACGCAACTCGTTCAACATATTACGAACTATAAAACCAGCCAGCATACTGAACGACATACTATCAAGGAAAGTATGTTACAACCGCTGATCAAGCGCGAGATTACTACTATTATTAACCCGTTACCAACTGATGTTACGCTTATATGGACTGTTTAAAGGCGTTTCTAGTTTTCTTATTAAGATCTTACGAAGGTAGAAAAGCGAAGAAAGAAAGACAGCTACGCAGAGGGGGGAGGGAGAGGAGAGAGAGAGAGCGAGGGCAAATTTTCGATACGATCCGAACAATTTTATCGATTTCTTATAATTATTTAAGTATACGAGCAGTAAATACACGATTACGGTACGTGTTTATAAGAAAGGCAGCCTGCACGTAATTTCACCACGTGTGGCTTTCTAGAAGAATTAAAGGGACTGAGCGGGACGAGAGGAAAGGAAATGGCTGAAAGGGGCAGAAAGCGCTTTTGTCTTTTTAGAGAAAATATTCAATTATTTTGAACGAGCGGTAATGGAAGCTAAGTTTAAGTTTAAATTGGCGAAGAAGCAAAACAATGATGAATTGCTGAAAGGGAGGGAGCTGCCCCTGTGGAAAGTGGATAGTCCAGCATTGTGCAGTTGCGACGCTCCTCTTTGCCTCAAGGTGGTAATTCGTGCTGCATCTAGTGAACTCCAATACCAGTAGGATGGTGTTGACCCACACTGATGCCGTAGTCGCAAATAGCCCTCAGCCTTAAGGTACAATAGCGGGAGCGGTGATCGAGACGACCTTATAAAACGCCACCACAGAAATTCGAGGCCCGCAGAAATGGAGTACGCGCATATACTGAGATATAATAGAATGGAATGTAGATCTTATCTAAATTGATTAGAGACCTAATGAACACGCGCACTATACTCCTACCGATAAAAATGGCTTACGCTGCTAAAAACGTAAACGTTGGATAATTGTGGAAGAGAAACTGACCTATCTACTGAAAGGCACTTCGTCGATGAATTGCATTTGTTTGTAATTTATGTTTAATATCTACAAGAAGTAGAAATACTACTGCTACGCGAGTCGAAGGTATAGGCGCGCTCAGCAGGCGCAAGTTGCTCTGGAGTAGAAACGAAAGGTCATAGAATCAAGTGGAGAACAGTACACGACAAATGCGAGATAGGCATATATATATAT